AAATGTGTGCATGGTAGTTTGAGTTTTGACAGGTTATTTCTTTTTCCTCTTGTGATGTATAGTTTGAGCATGCAAGTATGTTGCATTATGTTCAATAAAATGGTTTACAATGACTGATTGTACTGTGTGTCTTGGCTGCAGGATGGGCTAGTGAAACATATTGATCAACTTCACGGCTAACGGCATCCCAGAGAAGTGGAAACTCACCTCCCTGTTGCCTGTTGGTAGACCTTTTAAGTAGCAGACAAGTTCGAAGCAGCTCCTGCTTTCGAGCAGCTGGAGTTCTCAACGTGGCATGCACACTTGGCCCTTGGTTGACTTGATCATTTATCTTATCCTGGCCTTTGTTGTAGTTGAATTTAATCTTTACTTGCTGAAACTTTGTGCCAACAGTGGCAGCCGTAAAAGCTAACATTTATCACAAATTCTTAGATGGAGCCGCAACATTTGCATACGCAGCTCCATGAAACGCTCCCTTGCTCGTTCATGTTATTTTGCTGCACAGTTTGTGTCTGGTAATGGAGGGCTTGCATTGCATTTCTCATGCGTACGATTCCGGATCAGGGGCAGCGCCAGTATTAGGCCGCCTCCCTTGCTGCATTTTTTGTTTCAATCTATATTTTTCATGGCTCCAGTGATCTCGATGACGAATTCACTTTTTTTTGGGAAAACGCAAAGGATCTTTGCGCCTCATTTCATTGAAAAGATGGGGAAAGTACAATCCTCCTAGGAGGCTGTTGTTACATGGGTCACGCTCTCAATCAGTGGACGTCCCAGGATGTGGGCAGAACAACCCTAAGGGCATCTCCAGCCGTTGGCCTCCCCATGAGGCATTTTTTCCACTGCCTGACGGGCTGCCGGCGAAAAACTAAGCCTGGGGGTGGATATTTATCCACTCGTTGCCGTACCCAGCCACCACCACCACCACGTGAACCGCCCTGGCTAGCGGATGGCGATGAAGCGCGGCCACGGCTCAGGCAGGTTGGCCGGCGACGGCGACGGCGTGTTCCCCGACCCGCCTCCTCCTTCTGCTCCTCCTCGCCGCGGTCGCCTGCACGGGGCCGCCCGACGCCGTGTCCAAGCCCGCGATGCTTGAGCCATGCGCCTCGCGCTGCTCTCCTACACCGCCGACCTGCTCTGCTCCACGGCCTGCCCCACGCTGCTCTCCTACACCCTCCACGCCGACCTCAAACTCGCCGAGCTGGCCGCGCTCTTCGCCGCCGACCCACTCCGCCAACGCCATCGATTTCGCCGCCTCGGGCCCAGACGGCCGTATCCTCCCGGCCGGCCCCGCTCTGCTCCATGGCCTGCCCCGTGCTGCTCTGGCCGGGCGACGAGGAGGAAGACCACGATCATGCCGCTGCTCTGGCCGGGCGACGAGGAGGAAGACCACGCCCCGCGCGCGTGGGGCTGGAGCTCGACCCGTCGGCAGCGCGGACAGGGGAGCGGAGGAGGCTGCCCGCGGCGAGCACGCCGTGCTGCGGGAGGTGGCCGCGTACCTCCTGCTGCAGCACCGCCCCGGCTCCGCGGCTGCATCTCCGTGGCCTCCGCGCCCGGTGCCCTCCCCGCGAGCTCTCTGCCTCCTTGCTCTGGCTCCCTCCCCGCGAGCTCCCCGCCTCCCTGCTCCGGCGCCCTCCCTTCCCGCGAGCTCCGGCGCCCGCCCGCCG